CGTGCGTGTGCTGCTTTCAAACATTGTTACTATACCTCCTATGTACAAGGGGCCGGATCTACAATTTCCGCGAAATGCCATGTTCTCCGTTCCCGTAATTAATACTTACTGATCATTAATTATTCGCAGCATAGTTGCGGCATTGGCGAGGCAGTCGCCAATCATGGTGCAACCCGGTCGTTCGCTCGCTCGCTCGCTCGACGTTGAATCGAAAGTTGAATCGGATTATCAACCTAAACCCTAAACCAACCGGGTCTGAATTTATAAGGACGATGATGCCCGGCTAAAGGTGCATTCGCGCGTGAAATTCCTCGTGACTGCAGGCTTCTAACGAGCTCGTAATCCGTAATAACTTGTAATTTCATAGTTATTATTTCCGTAATGAGAACCTCTCTCCCTCTCTCTCTCTCTCTCTCTCTCTCTCGTATGTTCGTCCAGCTGGCAAATTTGCGACAGTAATTTATCGCCGTTATTGGACTCTCGTGCTATCACGTTAAATCGCGACAGGCATCGGGCTTGACGTTCGTGCGCTGCTGGCGCGGAGATGTCGCATCGATAGCGCATAATTTAAACTAAATGTTACAGCAAGATGACATCCGACCGCGCCGCTAGCGCCATCCGCTCGTGACGATTTGTTTTACGAATATTATAATCCCACGCATTCGTGTTCCGTGCCCGTTTTGCAATTTACATGTCATGTTTTCTCCATCGATATTTTCCATTTAAATGTGTTATACATGTCCCCCAGTTTCGCAATTCGAAGCAGCGTTTTAATTTCGCACAATTGTTTCGGCAACATTCTGTTTTTTAACGTTCAATTAGAGAAACTATCGACGATATCGCTGTACCAATTAGAGAAACTATCGACGATATCGCTGTACCAATTTTTGTAATCGATTCATAACGATCCATTGTTGAGTCGTTCTCTAATTTCAGATGAAATTTCGTATAAAGTCAGTGCCGTCATTTTCCATACTCCAATCTATCTGTGAAGCTACTCATGCGTTCATGGAAACTTTTACGGGGATATTCACGAAAATCCCTTCTCGTATCGATCGACTTGTCCAGAAATTGCGGACTCCGAAATTGGTTTTCGGATAAGACAGGTATTTTCCGCCGCGTTAAGCACGCTAAAAGCGAAGCGCAGTTTAAATTCGTGCCTTTAAAAGTCTACTCTCGACGATCGCAATTAAAGTTCAAGAGCGTGTCTAGTTTAGCAAGTTTCGCGAGAGACTCTTCTTTCGCGTAAATAATATAAAAATCCGGAAGGCAATAAAACGCGTCACCGCAATAAATAACGAAATCCGTGGCGAATTTCCGCGATGGGAATTTCCTCAAAGGACTCTGGAATGCCCTCGGAAGTTGCGCCTCCCGACAACGAGTCGTGCACGAATCGGAAGTTATCGAAGGAGCGAATCATTGAAAGGTTTTGTCCGTCCAGGCGGAATAATAGACGCGAGAGCGGAAGATATTTTCAACCTCGCAGCTGATCACCGAGGCGTGCCTATCTTCGACAAAGGCCCTTCTAAATGTATCAACAGTGCTCTAATAGATAAGAGCTCGGACCTCGGCTCGGACCGGGCGTCTGAAGATTGAAACTATCTATCAAGCCTAGACCTTTTGGCTGATCCTTTCCAGTGTCTTGTATCTTATTTTAGGGCTTATAAAGGTTGACATTATAGTAGCAGCCGTTTTGTACAATATTATTGGTAGGAAAGTAATTGTAAGAATTAATTTTAATTTATCGAGACAAGAAGGATTACATGGTATTATTATCTTGACTTTACGTATTCTGGTACGTAATAATATAGCTAATAGAATTATAAAATATTTTTATATTTTTATGAGATATTTCAGATAATATATTTATAAAGGCGTTGATAAAATTAATACACATACATGAATACACGATACTTAATAATAATTTATTTGTCAAAATTTATTAGGTTTATAATTCTTTATAGGTAAACCAAATAAATTTTGACAAATAAATTATTATTAAGTATCGTGTATTCATGTGTGTGTATTAATTACCGGATATTTCATAAATATTTCCGAAACAATGGAAATTTTTCTAAATTTATAACTTGGGTGAAAATTATAAATTGGATAAAAATTCGTGAATGTCTAACAAATCTCGAATTATATATTCTATAAATATCAATGTTTAAAAATTATTTGATTGCAGGCAATTAAAATAAACTATTTCAAATTGAAGAGTAGTCGAAATTATTTTTTTACACTACGAACAAGTGAATAGAATGTCGTTGGAGAAACTGCAAGTAATTCAAAGCAAGGCTTTGATGTTCGTTAGGGGCGGTCTGCGTAAAGTTGCACCTGGATTATTCCCACACACGGGTATAACGGAAACAGGACGGTAAACGAGCGCGATGTGCGAATTTTACGGCACGTTGAACCGCTCTTTGTGCTTGAAAGAAAAGCGGGAAACCGGAGAATATTGTCGGATGAGATTATATTTTTTTTGTCGACGCGACTCGACACATTGCGCGGCATAAACGGCTGAAAACGCTTTTAACTTATTTCAATCAATTTCGACAAACAGTCGCGCTTTGGTTAATTAATTCGTATTCTTGCATCACGACGACAAGGAGTGCCCGACGACCAAGGTGGTGACGTTATTTCAGGGCTCTTTATCGGGTTTGTATTAATTGCAAAACAAACACGCGCGTGAATTGATTGAAACCTGGCTCACTTTTCTCGCGTGTCGATAAATATTTGTGCGACCATGTTCGAGCGAAGTTAACATTTCAACGTCGATAGTACCTTATTCGGAAACGGGGTAAACGTTCACGTAAGCGTTGCCACTTTCAGTCTGGCACGATTTACTTTACTCGAAATCAAAGCGCGATGACGTCGACAATGGCGTGTAACATTAAATGCGTGCGGCTCGGTGATAGAATACGTTGGCACGCATTATTGATGCAGGCGCAAACCCAAGAAGCTATACTTGTTTAATAAAGTTGGTCTTGCAACGGGTGTACTTGACGATATTCCTCGGTACACGCAACTTTTTATTATACTAGGTCATCCGGTCGGTCGAGTTAATAAATTGACGGTTATCAAAGTATAAAGACACAAATAAGTCATGACAGCTGGATTATCAGAAATCCTGTACATACACTTTGTCTATATCTGACACAGTTATTGTCTAACTAGAAACTGTCGGCGCGAAACAGGAATGTCGTTTTCGTTTAGCGTTTCAGATTTTTGTAGGAAATGTACACATCTATTAAATATCGTAAACGAAAACGAAGAAACAATGCCAATTTTAAGAAATAAGAATAGTCGTTTATGGAGCTGATATATTCGCATCATTATAGTAATTATTTTCTGTGTACGATACAAGCAAACAATTGAATAACACGATACAGTTTTGTCTAACTAGAAACTGTCACAATAGTGCGAAACAGGAATGTCGTTTTCGTTTAGCGTGTACGCGTTTCAGATTTCTGTAGGAAATGTGTATTTATTAAATTTTAAGTATCGTAAACGAAACGAGAAAATAATATAAATTTTAAGAAATGAATGTAAAACTTTATGGCGTTAATATATTCCCATCTATTACAGTAATTATTTTCTGTACGATGCGAGCAAATGACTGAACAATAGGACATAAAGGACGATGTCCTCTTATCATTAATCACGATACGATCGATGTCACAAGAGGCTTTAGAAAGGGCACTGACATAGAAAAATGTTGACTTAAAATTTCATTGTCAGGTCTGTCGCTTTGCAAAAACGTTTATTGAACGATCCGCGCGTTCCCGTGCGTGATGTTTATTAATTGAATTTGCTTTTGCGCACGAGGTCGCGTCGATCTGCCAGCGGTGAGGGCGAAAATCCTAATAAGGGTCCACGTGAAAGGGTCCACGCTATCATTGGTGCCAGAGTAATCACTTGGAAATGTCCAGACCAAAAACGCACCTGCCCTTCACTGCATTTTCACCCGAATAATTCACCGAGAACTCCGCCCGCCGTGTACATTTTTTGCGCGTTCGTGGCCGGGAATATTTAGCCGTTAACGACGCGACAATTTTCACGTGGGAATTATACTCGTATTATATAATGTTGGGGACCCGCGTTCATCATTTTGTTACCGAGATTTTTAACGGTTTTCGCCGTTACTGTCCGTTCTCACGATTGTTCTATAGACTATATATTCAAGCTTGGTGTAAAACCGCATGGTGTAAATATTAGACTTGGTTGTAAATGTAGTTACCGTATTGCGCAACTTTTTACTGAAAGATTAAATAGAAGTCCACGGTTGTAGACGTCGCGCTCGCTATCGAATCGAGCTCTCGTTCAACGGAAACAAAGCCACGTGGCGTGGAAGCGCGGTGTGCCGTTGCTTCCGACAGGCAAACTTTGTGGAATGGATTAAACGCGTTTTATCGAATGAAGGAGGGTATGTCGTCGTTGCGGCGCGTATTGAACGACCATGCGATCGATGCGCGTTTAACGTGCAGACAGAGGGAATGCGGAGAGAAAGCGATAGACCGATAAGGAGAGAGAGGGAAAGAGAGAGAGAGAAAAGGGGGACAGTGAGTCGTTCAACGTTGGAAGCTGCGCGGTTACCTGGATCGCCAAAATAACGCGGTAGGTCAGTCGGAAAAACTGGAGAAGCTCGCCCTCCCTCCCCCCTCGTTCATCTTTTGGTCCTGCAATCCTCGCGCCAGCTCGCTCGGAAGAATCCGCGACTCGGAAGACCCACTTTTTGAAGAGTTGCAACGTTGGAAGGAGCACAACCGTTCGTCACGACCGCGCCAGACGATTTAACTTGGCGTTTACGACCGGCGAACACGAAAATATCGCGCGCGCGTCCGGAAATTTATTATGATCGCGATAATCGGGGACACGCGCCTCCGTTGTGCGATATAATCCGCCCGTGACGCGATTTCGCACGCACTTGCACAACAACAATGCGATAAGGGAGATAGTATATGGCGAGTACGACGACCAAGAAGGTTATTGCTACTTACAGTACGTGTCGGTGGTAAGACGATCGATGGTATCCTGCTTGAGCTTGCTATTCTTCTTACCCATCTTCGTAGTTTGGAGCGGGTTCTAACGCGCGCGAGTTACACCAATCTTCTCTTCGCCGAGTCCAAGACTCCGCTTCTAAATTGGATCTCTTTTGTTGCGGATTCTCACCGTCCGCCTTGCATCTCCCGATTTCGCTAAATTACAGTCGACAGAACGAAGCTTACGTTCTCACGGATGCACCGGGAACGATCGGAGTACGACCGGCTGGTTTCCGCGTTGGTTCACGAAGACAGGAAGGATTTGCTGGACGATGAAGTTTCTCGAGGCGCGAGACACACGAATTGTCTTTCCTGGAATTCCCCGTTCCCCGCCGAGTTTCTCGACTCCTCCTGTTTCGTAGCCGCGAAGGTACTCTATCGAATTCCACTTGATAAGTTTCCCCGCCTGCTGCAACTTCCTCCCCCGTTGAGCCGAAGTCTTCCTTCCAATTCCCCTCCCGCCTTCGACAAGTTCGCTGAATTCAATCTGAAGGCGGATGGTGTTTTGCAGAACGGCGAAAACTTTCTTCGCGGGAAGAACCACGAGCTCCTTGATAAATTTGCGTCGCGATCGAGGGCACGGCGGTGCCGAATCTCGAATGATAGAGTTTGATTTAATTTGCTCGAGATGTGCAGGCAGGCGAGGGGGGCGCTTAATCAATTTAATTACAACACGGGATGTTCGATATCACTCGCGTCCGTCTTGCTAATGGGGTCGATTCGTTGATATGCCTCTCACGTAGATTTTCTTTTCGATGATATTGCTTTCTCTGTGAAGAAGACAAGGGGGAATTTTAATGAGAACGCGAGCTCTCTCCCGTGAATCAGTCGCGGGATTGCAGCTTCCCATTTTTCTTTCACACTCGATGCGCTCGTTTTGAAGCGTCACCGCGAAAATTAGAGCCAGATATTAGAAATTTAATCACGTTTGAACAGCGAATTGTAGGCGGGCTTCGAGAGGGAGAACCGACAATTTTCCGGTGCGATAAGTTTTGCGGAATCGTTAATCGCACCGTTTGGTCTCTTCGCTGAAGTTTCAAAATTCGCCGATAAACTTCAATTCGCAAAGATCGTATCGGAAAATTAAGACGAACTCGGAGAAGGCTCGGAAACGTTACTGCAAAGTTCATCAAAGTGGTTACGTAGTTGAGAAATTCGTCTCTAAAAACTAAATAAATGGACTCGTTAAATACCCACAATGAGCGTATTTTTGTCTTTCGAGACTAATGATGAGATATTCGAGTGTAATGCAAATGAATGTCACGCGCAAAGATACAGTGTCGCTTCAAATCGAGCGTATTAAAGTTTCAAAGGTCGTAAGACCAGACAACCGATACAGGCTACTTTCGTAACTTGCACTAGCCAATCCCTTCTGGGCCATTATATGAAGGGCTTTAAAGGCCAACAGCGTTACGATATCTCCAACCTTATCCCGAGATTAAACGGAATTTCCACTAAATGTATTTCCTTAGCTCTCACTGTCACGATTCCCTTGTTCCGCTACGACCGCCTTTAATCCTATCGTTTTCCGGATGCCATGAAAGAATATATATCAGGCCGTTTGTCACTCGGGAGCGATTAACTGTTATTACAATGTTTCTCTTTTCTCTCTTTTATTCGTTTATTGTCATTGCAGGTTTTTCAACTATTAATAAAAAAGGACAAAAGTATGAAAAAATTATAAAGTTATATGATATAAGGAATTTTTAACTATAAAGAATTTAATTTAATCTTTTTGAATATTTGCAAAATAGCGAGATATTAAATTAAAGTTTGGCAGATCTTCGTTTAAAATATGCAGTAAGGAATGATCAAGGGAAACAATAAATTACTGTTAAAAAATCTTGAGGTAATTATTAATCTAATTTGCGATGCGCGAATTGATATGACAGAAGAAACGTGAATTCAGGTTATATCAGCGTATTTATCGCGACGTCATTAGCGCTAGTGAATAATGAATTGTACCCTTTCCGTGCTTTCTATATCTATCCCCAATCTCTTCTCAGCGCTCACCGTCCGGGCGGATTAATCGAGTCGCGATTGAAGCCAACGAAAATTCTCTCGGCTAAAGGCCCCGAGAGGAAAAAGCCCCGATTCGTGGAGATTGAATGAAGATGGAAAATACTGTCCGACGTGCCGCGAGCTGATTCGGCACGAAGCCGTTCGTCGTCGTCGGAACTTTGTAAAAACTTGGGATGGAATAACAATGGACGAACAGGACGCGCGCAGTCTCCGCGCGAGAGAGCGGGTCATGGAATGAAGTTACAGCAAAGTTGGGGACACCCCTTTTCTTCCCTTTAACATGGAGATTTCACTCGTTTCTGAATGACGTATGCGGCATGACAAAGGAGGAAGCGAGCGATCAGCCAAGCGAGATCTCACTCTCGGGGAGAATCCGCGTGAATCCGAATGCAGATCAGTCAGGCTGGTGCGAATTCGCGTCACGTCGCGGTCGCGATGGCGCGTAGTGTCTCGTCGCGTCGCGTTCCCGCGAAGTTCGTTTAAACGCGCCCGATACCGGGGGGGATTTTGATTCATGCGTTGTTCATGCCGCGTCGCACGAACGAAATTGCGGAAGTCGATCTGCATGAGAGACGTGCCACTGCAACGGGCGGTCCTGCGAAATTCGGGGACGTCGAAGGCCGCGACGAGAGGGAGAGAGACAGCCTTGTGGAATGATTAACTTCTGGTCGAGGTCGTGCTGCACCCTTGACCTGGTGCCGTATGACACCTGAACGTACGTTTCCTGGAGCACGCGTTATAATATTACGTTGTAATATAATCGAGCTGATCGGTAGTGAAGAAAAGATTCGAGGGCAAATGAAAAGTGAAGCGGAAGCGAAAGCGGCTAAACGAGGAAATACGCGGGAGCAATTTCTCGTTCTCCAGCTTGCGAATCCTCTGGAGAACGTTCGTGCTGAAAGGCCACGGAAGCCTGATTATCGAGATGCCCTCTCCTGGCGCAGCAGCCCATTCATAAAACAAACCGGATATCGACGAGACATCTGCTCTCCGAGGTGCACTAAAGCGTCGTGTCTTCGCAGCTTTCGATCGTGACAGCCGATAGCGCGCGATAATCGTCGCGTGCACCAACAACTCGCATAACTTTTGCACAGAACGTCGATAAGGTTGTGGAGAACATCATCGGGGGGGGGGGGGGGGGGCTCTGAATAAAGACGGCGCGAGAAAACCAGCTGGCGGGCGGGAATCTTGCGCGTTATTTGCGAAACGTGATCGCTCTCAACAGACTATCGCTATTTAGGACCTTCACTGGGAGAGATTAAACCACTGGTCAGGCCGATGAAGATATAGCCGGAATATCGCGTTCCGATAATTCGCAAACGATAAGCTTGTCGACGTAAATCGGTATTTCGACTATTCGAACCGTATCGATTCGCCGCGCGATTACATTGCGGAGCAATCGGCTCGCGCGGAGATTGGCTCTGTCACACGTAACTTGACACACGATTAATATGGACAGATAATACTGCGCTTGGAAGCTGGCGAACCAGCACCGTATCCAGTTGGTCCCCCCGGCGTTCACCATGGAACCCCCTCACGGTCCCGCTCGCGCGGTGTTCATGCCAACCTGTGCTCGTAGGCGCGTTCCCTCGCGAGTACTCTATCCGGATACTTGATAGTAAATAGGATTTCATTCATGAGTTCTCAATCGCTAGGCGAGGTATGTTCGTCGGCGAAGCGCGGATCAGTGACGTCATAGCGTCGCGGCGCCTGGCGTCAGACTGGCTCGGCGATGACATTACGTGGAAGTGTATTGGAGGTTACGATGGCGCAAGCGCACCACTCGAACCTCGAGGAGGATGCTCGGACTATCCAACCCTCCCGTTCTCTCCTCCACACAGCGGTTCCTCCGATTCCGCCACCTTCGATCCTCCTCGTGCATTCTCTCCCTCTCTCGCTCGGTACGTGCCTACGCTCTCGCCGTCTCGGTCGATTGCGTTCTGCGTCGTTTTCACCCTTGTCTCTCTTTTCCCGATTTTCTCAACTAATTCTCCCGCCTGTCCTCCTTTCTCCCGCGCTTTTCTTTTTCCTTCCCCCGCTGGAAATTTTTCCGTCTCGGCTGCACGCACGAGTGGTGCGCCGTCTCCCTTGATTTCATCTCTCCACGCGCCGCCGTCTCTTTCGCAGATCCGTTTCTACCACTTCGTCTCCTTCCCCGCGGCGCCGAGATGCCCTTACCTCTTCACTTCCAGTTGACTATAATTCTCTCTAGTCTTACAAATATTGTTAGCACCCTTGGCGCTTTCGGGGGAAACTTCGGCCCCGGCGCGCCCCGTAAAGTTCCATTATGAAATTAACCCGGACGAATATTCGTATTCGGAGAGGAGTTCGCGTTTTTATTATTATTTATCATCTTTTATTGCACGATCGTCGCCACTGTCGGCGTCGTGTTCGTTTTTGTTTCCAACTTTATCCACGAACTGTAATAAATATTACTTTGGTCGTCCGTCATTTAGCGTTTGGAATTTTTACTGTTATTTCCGATAAACTGAAAAAGGCAAGGAAAAATATAAATGCTACACTAGAATACATTAATATCTTTATTTTAAAATTGAAATAATATTACACTGTGAACAACGAGCATAAAATAAAGAAATGCGAAACTTTAGAAACTTTTTTGATATGGTTATGGTACGATGATACGAGATCAATCACTGTAAACACTATCAAATAGAATATTCTGAAGAATTGAAAAAGATTAATGAGACGATCGTGCTACGGTCCATTAATAGTTTTATTCCGACAAAATAAAAGAGATACGTGCAAGAAAGGATACGGATCGTAAAAGTGATACGTGCACAATTTTGAAACACGGCAACAGTTTTTCGCTGTGGTGTTTTATCGTGATGAGATCAATCACTTAAGAACACCATCGGTTACCGTAATTCGCAGAGTTTGTGGGAAAAGGGATGCTTCTCCGGTGAAACAACATTTTTCGATTGAGTGGAACTCACGTGAAGACGAAGAGGATACCGATGCTCGCGCGGTACCTATATCGCGTCGGTAGCGGATTTTCGCGTCGATCGTTCTCCGAGTCTGCACGATGAATTCAACGCGATGAATTTCAATCGACGCGGATTCGCCGGCTGATACATGAATAAAAGAAACTAAGGTTTGCGTGATACCGCAGATTCCTTGGTCCGATGACAAAAACGGTTTATTTCAACCTCCACCTTTATCACCGATGCTCGAAAGGCTGCTTAAATTATGCCATACTTATAACATAATCGTTATAAATAAAATATTACATTTAATAAAAAAACATATAATAATAATAAGAAGATGAAATTTTAGGATGAACGAAAACCATAATATTTTAGAAAAAATATTATAAAATGTTTGACAGTTTTTTAGAGTAACTCACAGATTGGAACGTTTTTTTGTAATATGTTTTCACTTTTAATCCTCTTTTTCGCGAATTGTAATCAATCAAGTGCCGCCGTGGTAATAAATTCTCAGCGTCTAATTGTCTCTTAGTGATAATAGCTTCAAGCTCGCTGCGCGAAATCCTCGTTCAAAACTCGTGTAGTTTTTCGCTGACTGTCGAGATACTGCAGCAACTTGATTTAATTTTGTCTCTATCGACTAGCCACGAAAGTAGCTATCATCGTGAGCATGTATGTCTCTAGAAAATATAGCATTATCCTTTTCCTCCCCTATCTCTTCCTCCTCCTCCTGCTGGAGTAATAACAAAAGTATTCGATATGGCGTACGTCGAACAGTAACGAACAAAGCGTAAACGAAAGTGGAGCACGTCAGCAGTCCTCCGCGCCGCGTCGGCAGTCCTCGACATAAAAACGTCGATGATCCTCTCCTTCGCGAAAATGGAGCCGCGATCAACAACAATGTCGGCGACAATAACAGATATACATTCCGGTGGCGCGGGCGTAAAGCGCGATTCGTCAAACTGTTTACGGCCATCGCGATCCTACAATGAATAATTGCCGCTTGTCGTCTCGCCCAGCGAGTGACCGCTCCGCTCGCCTCTGCAGGACGATTCCTCAATTTCAGCGCGAGTCCCCCGATCCGCGCGCATGCAAGAGAGAAGTAACGTTGATAAAGCGAATACGCTCGCCGTAATTGATGCAGCGCCGTGAAAAGGATATTTTCGTATCGTGACAAATGTCGTGCGAATCACGAATCACGCTTTACGGCAGATTAATTTCTATATTACCTGTCCGCAATTTGTCCGCGTCGAAAGTTTTTTTATTATTTAATACGCGCCGCTCTTATTTGCTTAATGCATCTTTGATGGCATCCCCGTCGCTGCTTTATTAAGATTTGAGAAGAAGGTGAAATGTGCATCTCGCGGGGAATGAGGGTTCTCTCGGCGCGCTCCACGAAATTAAAGTCGTATCTTCGACCCGCCGGATGGGAGAGCGCTAACGAGAAAGGGGATAGAAATGCAAAAGCTCGAAGCAATATGTTTACTTTATGAGCAATTATAAATATTCACACGCGCATTTCTATATGTGCGATTCTAATCTTCTTTCTTTCTGAGATAACAATATTTTCGTTCCTTAGAATATTGGATTAGTGAATCACAATTAAATCTACGATTAAATACAATTATACCTTCGACCACATGTGAAATAACATAATTATATTCTTATTTCAAGACAATCTGTTGATACGCTAGTTTTAGCTGTTACATAATTGTAATACTTCTTAATTCTTTTTGCGGTCATTCTTTTCCATGAGAAACAACAAGAAATTCAAAATTCTGGTGGTAACAGGATTTTCCTTGTCGTATGAAGTGATGAAGAAATCAGAAGAAAATCTCGGTGGTATTTCGGCAAGTTCCGCGCCCGAGTATCACGCGAAAATTGCGATAAGAGCTTCTCGATTCGCCGAAGAAATAAATCGCGGGGAAACGTGACTCCCGTTCCTTGGAGAGATATATGATTCTATTTGCGGGGGCAACCGAGGCAGGCGACGATATGAGAGCGCGAGACGATAATCGAGGAGTGTGTTCCGAGCGGAAAATGGAATCCGCGCTGGAAACGCACCTGGAAACCGTCGGAATTGTGGCGCCGCGCCGCTGCCGTCGTATCCAATCTGAATATCTGCATGCACGATGCATCGCTCGGATTTATGTACTTGTTTTGAATTTTCCATTTTATTATTATTATCTTTTTTCGTTATTTCCGTACCCCGGTATTTCCCTGGGTCCTGTGAAACGGAGCGCTTAAGCCGAGAACAAAGTCGCGGTTATTGAATATTTCTGTAACAGGTAAAGCAATTACGCAAGTGCGCGAAAGTTGGCGCAGAAATCGAATTAGCCCGTCGCTCAAAAATACATTTAACTATCTCCGAAGGAAAATTTGATCTTCCAGCTGGCGGGGAGTTTTCGCGCCTGCGGAATCGAGTCACTGCGACGTGTCGCGTCTAATTTTTCCGCAGTTGGCTTTTACGTGGGAGACGCTCTCGCGTCTACGGCGGTTTACTTTAGCGATAGCCGCGTTAATTACGAGGTAAATTGCCTTCGCTAGAACTCAGCCAACTATCTTCGTCTTGCTACACGTGGTCGAACTAGGGGACTTAACGAGAATTACGCAGTCTGTTCGGTCCTTTGTTTGACCATGTTTGCCCTGGTCCGCCTGGTCTTCGTGCTTCGAAGCGAGAGACAAACGGCAGCGGTCGGTCTCTTTTCAAACACGCTCGAGAGTGATTCGAATTTCGCGAGTTCCAGAACCAGCTCTCAAACTCAAACGACCCACGCGTCGCCGATGCTTAACCGACTAATTCACTTATTTGCATTAAATTCCACGCTCCTCGGTCAGTTCCCGGCAAGGCAAAGGGCAAGCAAGATAATTTCTATATTATATACTTCATTTCGTATGTTTTATTTAATTTCATCTCGCGTTTCAAAAAGCGTGACGTGCAAATTTAATTTTTCGCCTGTGAATTTAATCGCGAGATTACGTATCTCGCGAGCACCTGTCAAACGCAAGCTCCCAATTAGGCGTCGTTTTTTCTGCTAGAAGTAACAATCAATCCTTTTACTTACCTTAATCCCTCTTAGTTATCTGCCAATCAAAAGCGATCGGCGGCCGGATTACGTCATAGATACAATCAATATATGTACTGTATCCCTGATATGCAATTCCAAGGCATGTAAATGCATCTCATTTACGTTCCGTGACTGTTAGGACAATTGCGAGTTAGCATGCGGGTCTTCACAACAGGCGGCAATTAGAACGGGGGTCAGATGGCACTTCGGCGATGCTGGATCTCTGATTTATTGATCTATTTCCGGTCGGATGTCTCTATCCACCAAGCGGCGCGGTCGGTTCTTCATCATCAACGGCGTACGAGAGAACGCGGGCGCGTACGAGCAAATCGGCTTCGTTAGAGGTTCAGCCGACCGGAAGAGTCGTTAACTACAGGCAGCGAAGTACACGCGAGCCATTTGCGTGACCGCCAATTTCGCACGCGCCATGCTGTACGCGCACCGATATAAGCAGCCTGTATCCGGGTCGCCGGCGCGGTTCCATTTACACCCTAATAAATTTCCAACAATAATTATTGAACGTCCGGCCCTACCGGCGCGCGTTACATTATGCAATATCGAGGCGCAATCGAATTACGTTACCCGTAACGCGAGTCGCGTCGTTTTATATTCATTCCTGAAATTCTATGCATGTATGTACGTCGATACCATTTGTTCCCTTTTATCAATCTGCAACGGGATTTGAACCTGGTCGTCAATTTATTCGTGGAACGCGTCTCGCAATTTCAAGCAGCACTATTTTTAACGGTAAGTCCGTTTATGGGTACTGTCAGCTGTGTTATTAATCAAGTGTGTATATATATATATATACGTAAAATAAACATTCATAATTGAGGCGACGGATGTCTGCATTTAATTATAAAGAAAATACGAATAATTAATTGTATTCAAATATCCGATATTAATAGAATTTCATTTGATTAGTGCGCTCGGAATAACTTGCATCGTTAGTCACCGAATTATTTCTCAAATTTAATTATGCGTTTATAATTCTTTTATGAGTTTCAACAAATTAAATGACAACAATTCTGCTCTCGTGACACCTTGTTAGAGATTCGTTTTTTAAGGGACGCTTATCTTTTCTTACGAACTTTTTAAAAGACGTTCCTTCGTAAGAAAATTAATTAATGTAAATAATAAACATGACAAACCACTTTTGTAATGTATTCTTGATTAATGCCTCCTTTAGCAAATAATAAATAAGCAAAACGCTTTTAAAGGAGTTAATTCACCAGGAAGGAAGAAAGAGTCTTGCGGGACTTCGCAGTAATCGAAAGAGGTGCCGAAGGATAGACAGGGTACTCGTTCACCCCGTGGTGCCTTCGACGGCGAACGAAACCACCCTGTATCGACCCAGCGACGCCCACCCAAAGAGCAACCCCCACCATGGATGACCCCATCCACCGGCGACCGGTACCATTTCGCCTAAAAATTCCGGAGCGCGGTGCGTCGTCGCGCGCCAAGTCGCCGCTACTTTTTTGCCCGCGGCAGAGAGATTCCGACGAGATTCCGCATGTGGGTCCCGCATCTGCGGCGACTGTTGTTGACAAATCCATAAAACCGACCCTGACAAACTGATTTTTCACATTTGCACATTCCCGATTCGTATAACGAACGGAATTTTGTGTCGCGCGATATTGCAATATATTAAGACAGGCATCTAAATTGTCACGTACATTCAAAATGAGATATATTTTCTCGAACTTGGGTGATTTATGGCTAACAACGAAGTGGAAAACATAATTTATAAGACAACTTTGAATCAAAAGAAGTTACATAGTACAGGCGAGGCCGGACGAGGCGTAGGACTTTCTCCTCGAAAAATAAACCACATAAATCACCCGCGGCAAAATTTATCACATCACCGCAGCCTCGTATAAAAAATACGATAGAGGCATTATTAAACCACTACCAGCGAAGCGACCGGTCCCCACTTTATCGTGTAGAGTATTGCTTTCGAGGCGATTTTATTCTTCAGACGCATGAAGAAGTATCTTCTCCTCTCTTTGTTTCCCAGAAAAGAGACACTTGACGGGTATCTTACACTGCGGCACCGTCGACGGTAAATATTTCGGATGCCTACGTATTTCAAAACTTTATTATGACATACAGTATATTCGCTCTCGTAACACACTTCTCCCGCCGTGGTATATCTCTCCGTTATTCCCGAGGACGTACGCGCGCTTAAATTATCCCCCCGAAACGATGACAGGATTCATCTATTTTACTATGCGCGCGGGTTATTATGTATGTACGTGTGAGATGTACCTCGCACACCCGGGGGCGTGTACATTTATAGTGGTCGAAACAAACCACCGCGCGCGCTATTAGTCTAAATTATTTCTAAATAGCGGTGTACCAACGATGGAGGGAGTTGGGTTACCGCCTCCACTTAACTCCGGCGAAAATCCCGCCGATTCCTCTTTCCAGTCCCTTTCACGTTTCTCCGCTGGCCGCTGCGCTGGAAACGGTTTTGCCGTAACAATACGGAAACCATCCGCCGGAGATTCTCCCCTGCCGCGCTTCCGCCGTACGTCGCGCTTAATCGGTGCTCTATATTGCAAGGAAACGCGCGTGTTATATCCCCGCGAAGCTTCACACGCGAGAAGGGCTCATCGATCCGCGCGCGGTAAATATCAAAATTTCACGGACTGACGCATGACGCAAAAATCGATCGAAAGGAACGATTGGACGCGGCCCTGTTTGCACGAGTTCTTCCGCGAGGCTATAGGTACACCGAGCGAGCGCTCGTCATGTACTCGTCATCTGGTTCGACAGCGAGCCGTTGCTGTCGCATTCGACGTGATGAGCGTGTTGGCTGAAGCACCTCACGGGTTATTTTTACAGATCGTCGAAAAAACGGTAAATTGCTCCAAGAAAATATTAGTAATTCTCTCTTTTCTCTCTCTCAGAGAATAAAGTAGACAAAAACGCTGAATATAAAAGAAGTAAGATCAAAGTACTACTTTGGGGTAGCCGATGTTTCTCTCTGTAGCCTTTGTAGGTAAATTATACGTGCTCCACAACTTTTACGCGTTTCATTTGCATAATAAGGATGGGGAAGGACCCAGGGATTCTGAAAACAGAATAGACGTTTCTCCGAATTTATTTCTTCACGCGCACTTCGCCAAAGTTGCCGAACGAGACGCCCGGTCCGGGAAGGGAGATACGCGTCGCGAAATATACTTTGTTGGGATTTACGTATGCAAATAAGCGAAATAATATTACCATCGAACCGCGAGCGCGGACGGACGGATCCGTTGCGACGAATTTAATTATCGATTTCCCGGGGGAGAGAATATCTCTCCGTAGTGCGGCATCTATTTTCGAAACGCGATGCAACCAGGAGGTAGCGGTTTATTTCGGCGAGAGTTCGATGGAATATTATTATCGTTGCCATCAGCCTGCGGTCCTTTCGTTAGATCCGTAAGGCGAGGCCAGCGGTTCGTATGCTCGCTCGTATATATCGCGATACGCTCTTTTGTTCTTTCAATACGCTATCCTCCTCGTTGTGAAATTCAATTCCCGTCCCGGGGGGGTCGAGGGCGGCGTTACCGAGCGCTATACATAAATTGCTTAGGTCTAATCGAACGTAGCTTATCGACGGCGAAGATATATTGCGATGTTAAAATATTAATGCCGATATAACACAATGAAGACGAAGACGTATGTAATCTCATCGGCGCTCGGTAGCGTTTAATTATATAGCACTCACACGGAAATAAATCACGATGATTCATCGCGCATAAAATATTTCTCAACATTATTCGTTATTTTAAGTGTTCGGAGAAGCTGCGGCACACCTTTCTTCGGCGCGCCTTTTGTCCTTCCGTTTCCGACAATCCCGGAATTAACGCAGTCTCTTGCGCCTCGATTTCGCCTCGGTTATTCCCGGTGGATTCTCGTGGGAAAGATTCCCTTGTACGATCAGGTACTTGACACATTTCGATTTTTCCTTTTCTCGTCCTTCTTCTTCTCGTCTCGCCTCGCCCGGCGCTCCTCGAGCACTCTCTCGTTTAATTTCCAACTGCGACGGCGATCGCTCGCGACTCGATGCACAAGTCTTGTAGCCGCGTCTCCGCGCGAATTCTGATAAATTCTTCGCGTCGCAATGCACACGGACGCATTGCGGCGACTTCGTTTCCTCTCCGTCTCTCTCTCTCTTTATCTTTCTTTCTGCTCTTGCACAACCCTCGCTTTCGCGCAAACTTGGTCGACGACGTTAGAAACTTTTCCAGCTTGTACTTTAAAGCACGAAAAAGTCCTGTGGGGCTTACCCGATGGCTTACACAGAATTTCTTGTCTTTATGTACTTTCATCGTTGTTTCGCAAAGTTGAGTATTTCAACGTTCACGTATTCACGCTCGCTTTCGCGCGATCGCCGAACGAGCATATCGTTCAACGTTCAACGCAGTAAGAGATAATCGGATATCGGCTATTAATCAGGTCGGTCGATTTGACGTTCCCGGAATGGTCAAACGTTCAAATTTAACAGCAGCAATCATGTAGACACGCCCGGCTTTAAGCTGCGTTAGTATGCAGGAATGTTTCGCAGATGTGGCCATTCTGGTACTCTGCAACTATTTCCGGACTTCACCGGTACACAGAGAATATAACCATAGTTCGAATACTTTCTTGTGGATCGACTCGTAAGAAGATTCGTAGGAAGCGTCCGGCATAAAATGTCTTTTCGCCGTAATCATTTCGTCGGTCAAAGAAACAGCTGTTTAATCACCGCAAGAAATTTTCGTTAGTTTACTATTATCACCATTATGCTCGCACACCTAAACGAGAATGTCCCACGCAATTGTGCTTAATCGGCGTACACATATGTATATTGTTTGAATACCCGACTATTTTACAGATTTTTTTGCTTTCACACACAAACAGTCCCGACATTTACAGTGCGTCAGTCCCGCGACTCCCGCGCTAGATTCGAGTCCTTTTTGTTCCACCGCTTGGCGACCGAGCGGTTGACGCCAGGATCGATGGCAAAAAATCCGTGTTAAACGCTGGCACGAGCCAGATGTCCGGGGGTCGCGATTGTGGTGGTTGGCGGGGTCGTCGTGGTTGTCGTTGGTCTCGGTATCGGGGAACGTTTCATGGGCAGGTTCCTACCGCTTTGGTCGCTCTTGACCCACGGCCATTGCAGGGTACGAATTAGAGTGTTCCGAAAGTCTTCGGAAAAGAGACAATAAATGTAAAACGTGATCGAGTAATTGATCACTTCCAGCAGATTGGCCAGCGCTCGGAACACCTGCAACCGAAACGCAGCGAATTAATGGACGGATTCATAATTGATGAAGTCACGTATTAGGGGCGGGAGAACATGCCGGAATAATTAAATCAATTATTCAAAAAAAGAAAAGGTAGGGAAAAATAAATTCTGATAGAATTCTTGCTGAGCAATAAAACGATGATGAGAACAAAAATACATAATTTGGAGAGAAAATAGAATTGTTTTCGTAAATTAACTTTTAATTTGGGATTCAACTCCGTTGTTAATTTATATTAAATTGCAAGCAAGAGTGAATATGTGTTCCAACGGTAATTGTCATTCGGAAGCGAGAGACAATGTACAAAATATTTGGGGGTGGATCTTCTCACCTGGTAAGGATAATGGCTGAGATTGGTTTTGCTGAGTGTGACGTTCAAGATAACCATAGGACTGACGCAGACTAGGAAGAGGATGCTGGTGCTACCTAAGAGCAGGATGAGCCTCCGTTCTTCGGCGAAAGTTCTGGGATCCTCGTCGCTGCTGACGGTTCTCGATAAGGTCATTCTCCGACGTCGCTCGCAGGACCTTCTGTACACTATCATTATTCTCAGATTGAATCCGGCGAGGAGGATCGTTGGCGCCACTTTAAAAACAACTTCTAACACCACCTTGTACACCTGAAATACATGTTCGCGATCACGAAGGGCCCGTAAAATTAGAATTTGAGGTTAAATACGATGGTAAACCATTTTAAGCTCGCACACACAAATACAATATAACTAAATAACGCTGTGAATGTTCCAGAAATCCTGACCTGCTTTATTTAAATGTCAGATCTCATTTTGGATATCAGATACTTTTGTGAATTTAGACGAATGGCGCACGTTCTACATATACAATAACTAGTATTAATAATGTTTCAAATAATTGATAAATGAACAGACAAATTAATAACGTTACATTCGGTTATTTTCGACTTTAAAGTATTATTTCGAAATTGTTGTTAGAAGAGAAGGGTAACTTCGCAAGCAGAAAAAGAAATATGGATTACCTGATAGTACCACGAGTCGAGAAACGACTGATTGTCTCTCCTCTGGTAGATTAGAGGACCGCCGGGTTCCAGCAGGCAGGTCGTAATTTCACCTCGAAATACGCTCGGCAGATAAACGAGAAATGTAACCAAAGGGATGAGCACCACTGTTAGGTGAGGTGGTCCGCAGAGTGGTCGCGTGTGTCCGGGATGACAGACGCTTACGTAACGCTCCACTGTCAATGCCAGAAGCATCATTACTCCAACCCCTATGCATACAATTAACCCCTATATCTCTCGAATATAGTGCTATGTCGAGTCGGCCTTAAAAGCTCTCCTCGTCACGTAGGCACCTGTGCGTTTTCACACACACAATAGCTATTACAGTGTCAATCAAAAAATTTTCGCAACACATTTCGCATCATCTACAAAATGGTTTAACGCTTTCTTTCTTTTCGCGCCCTATTTTTTTTAAATTTTTTTTTGTACCGGCATTAGAGCGAATTTCTAATCGCTATAATCGCTGTAACTTATAAGAGTTGCAAGATACGGGAAAGCAAAAGTTTTCCGCCGCGAGCGAGAATTCCCGTAACGAGCGATCTTCTGTTTCTTTCACGAGCGATGCGGAAAGCACGGATAATGCAGATGAATTTATTCTCTCCTCCGTCCCGAGGATCAGTTGTTTCCGCGAGAATAGTGTTAATGAAAGATAAAAAATGCGAGTGAGCGAGAGAAAGAGAAAAAGACAGAGAGAGAGAGAGAGAGAGAGAGAAAATGAGAGAGGAAGTTCATTAGACTATTCGCAGGCGCAATTTTGCAGTACGTTCCGCGGGATTTTCGTCGATAGCGAAATTCAGCGTACCCAGGCAGCCGTTCCCAAGAAAGAGCTCGAGGTGAGCATGGTAGAAGGCCTGGAGCCAGCTGTTCCATCCCCCAGTCTCCTTGTGGATGAGCACCCGCAACGCGAAAGGAATGCAGAAAAGAATTGCGAGGAGCGCCGCCGCGGAGTAACCTGCAACAAAAAAAAGGAGCCGAGCTCGTAGTTAAGGAGGATGATCGGACAGGGAAAAATGAGAGCGGAGGCCCCGAGACCGAGTTAACTTGATTTCATAAACCCGGAACACAGCGGCCGAGTGTTGCGCACGATTCATTTAATCATTCTCGCAACTTCTTTAAATATTCTGTCACCGCGGTAGAATTTTTCATTCCGCCTCCACGGAAGCCGTCGCGTAGAACGACGGAAATAGGATTAAATCACTCTTCGGGATCTATTACGGGATCCCTCTGAATGTTCTTAGCCATTTCTACCGTTTTATATACTCTTCGCGCATTTGATATCCGCCAGTTCCTAGCCCGTTATGCGTTCCTGGTCACGTAAAATGTTAACGCTTTCATCGTAATTCTCCGTTCTCTTAGCCAAATGTCACTTGTAAAATAGCATACGTTTCGCTCAATCGTTATTCAACCGTTAGCGTCACACAAACGCGCAGTAGTTTTATTTCCCGCACGTATCACTCTCAAATTAAAACTTCATCGATATCTCGTGAATTCAGACAATCGAAACGGGATACGCACTTTTTGCCAATTTTCATTGATTTCCTGTTTTCGTACGGTCGACCGCGCCGCTAGTTGCTCCTCGTCTCCTGTTACGGGCTTTTACCGTCCATTGAGACCAATTAACGCTCGTATTTACCGTTTCGTTCCGCGGTATTTCCTGAGCGCAATTAAATGTCGACGTCTCCTTCTCCTGCCTCGTACAACGCAAATTGCAGAGAAAATTGCTCACATACGAATACAAATGTGATGAAAGAAAGTTTCCTCGGATACATTAACAAACATTTTGTTGTTTAAAATAGTTGTTTGATGTATAAAATTGACAAAACTTCTAGTAAATTATTATTTCATAATTAATAATTAAATACATGTATAAAAAAAATGTATAAGCGTTATTTCGGTTTAATGTAGATCAGTAATTATTTCTGAATTATCTTCAACCAATGTATACGGACGAATGAACTCCAACCAAGGCAGTTTTATCAACCCTCGCTTTGTCGTACCGACCCTCGGGCTTTCAGCTGCCGATAAGCTCGACGAGCTTGCTGGTAACGCACGTTCCTGTGGTCGATGATAACCGAGCGGTGGATAGGAAGGGTGGTTTCAACCCCTCCAGTCGTTACCTCAGTTACCAACCGACCTACATTTCGCGTTCTGCAGCCATCTCATAGAGAGCCTCCCCTAAACACTTTGTCCGTAGAACGGCACACTTTAATTGCGAGAGAAAAGTTCTCCCTCGGTCTTCTCTTCTTCCCTAAAGTTTATTAAAGCATGCGGTACACGCTCATTGGAGTATGAAAGTCCGCGCAAGAATCGCCCGGAAATTGGCTAATGCCGCGCGAATGAAAGTCGAGTTTTCCGCTCGGCTACGCGACGCGTAGCCCGTGGAAGCTCGTAAAACTTTTACGTCGGAGCCGTCGCATTAAAACGAAATTGCATCTTTCCATTTAAATTACGATTTCTTGCCGTCCGTCAGTAACAGTCACGAAGAACCCAGCTAGGTTTCATTGGGTTTCACGATCTCCTCGCGAATCGGCGAGTGGGTAGAGTCTAGTACCTCCAGGATCTTTCCCTTGCTTTCGTCATTTTCTTCAAATTACTTTCTTGATGCGTGAACGAAACTCTACCCGTAAGTAAACACGTGTGTACAAATACGATGTCAAGCACCGCATCCACTTTGGCAAAACAGGGACGAGTACTTAATTAAAATTACGCAATCCAGATAACGTTACGACATTAGTTTTTTATATAATGTCATTTATTTATCGATAAATTAAATTTGGGGAAAGTGGTATATAATAAGTTGCTGCATTCTCTCTTGATTGAAATTGAAGTAATAGAATTTTTAAAATTGAGAAATTATACGCATTATAATTATTGTCCTGTAGTTTATACTCTGGACCTTTTGCGTGCGCGAAGCTTATTTTCTTTTTTTCATTGTATTAATGTAATAATGCGATGTAACCTAATGTAATAAGCTATCGTAATAAGCCTTGAAAGTATCATTATTTATCCTTTGTTATGTGGGACGCGCGAACAGAGTTACGAAATTGAACTTATGCGGAAAATGATATATAAGTCGTTACGTTCTCTCTTGATTGAAATTGAAGTAACAGAAATACTTTCAAAATCGAGAAATTACGTAATAATTGTTGCTTCAGTTTATACGTTCTGAACCTCTCGCAAGCGCGAAGTTTCTTTTATCGCATTAATATAATAATGTAATAAGGTAATGTGCAATAGCTAATGTAATAAGCTGTCGTAATAAGCCTTAAAATCATCATGGACTTATCCTTTGTTACGTGCGAAGAATAGAGTCGCCAGTCCAACGAGACATCCGTTTGACAAATGAATTTGAAACTGCGTAAGACGAGAGGAACAGCATCTCAAAGTGACCGTCGCGCCTCAATTACCGGAAACCACCGCGGCTGGTCCGTGCTTTCCATTTTTCTGGAAGGCGACGGGCGGACGTCGGTGGGCGTCGATGCTCGTTACGCACGCAGACACTGCGACTGGATTAATGTGTCAGTGACCTGTTTTCGGGCCACGGTTCGTTTACTAAACCCTATCACGTTGATTGGCCGATTCCCCCATTTTGGCACTTCCTTATTTGTCCACCGAAAACTGACTAACGAGAAAAGGGGATGAAAGAGGTGACAGATCCATAAAGTTTCAATTGATAAAGCCGTTGAACAGAAATAAATCTTAGGACGCACATTTAGTTCATTTGGCACAGACATCTGTCTATCGCGTGCGACACGAAGGTCGAGAAACTCTCACGAAATACGCCGATCTTTTTTTTCCCGAAACAGCTGTCATGTATTAGATCATTGATTTACGTGCTGCAAAACATGGCTAAAACTTTTTTCCCTTTTTCTTCGCGTCTAATGGAAGTGCTAGCAACGCATTATCGTTTGACACATTTTACGAGCGTCTTGAGTGCTTCGTAGAGATTCAATGGTAATAATATCCATATTAATCGGATCATCGAACAAATTGAAATATTTAAACTTCGCAAATAATACGAGGTCTGACAATAAAATTCACGAACTCGTCACGGTACAATTGCTACATATCTTATTACTGATTATCACTGTGATCCTCTTCAAAGTAGTCCCTTTGGGAAGCTACACACCGATGCCAGCGTCTCGTTCATCCTTCAAAGCAGTTTTGGAACCGTGAAATGGCCCCTGCCATCGGGTTACTTTTAATTATTATCATTAACGTCATTAAACCGCGTTCCTTTCAATGTTTCCTTTATCTTTAGAAATAAAAAAGGGTCACACGGAGCCAGAATCGATGTAACTTTTTATTTTCAAAAATAAAAAAAACATTGAAAAGAACGCACTTCTTTATGACGTTAATGACATTAATTAAGAGTAACACGACGGCACCTTTGAAGGCCATTTTACAACAACAGTTCCAAAACTGCTTCAAAGGATGGACAAGGCGCTGGCATCAGTGTGTAGCTTCCCAAAGGGACTACTTGGGGATATAGTGATAAGCAATAATGTATCAATTGTACCATGACGTGTTCGCAAATTTTATTGTCAGACCTCGTACACGATCGATCCATTCGATTACATAAATGCTGATAGGTAACTGTATTTTTTCAATGAAGTTTCGAAAGATATAAAATTTCAATTTAATTCATTTCACGTTAATTACCTTCAATAAAGCGAAGCGAATATTGATGAACGAATATTTCTATGCAATTAATGTCGTTTCGTTCAATAATGTTACATTCAAATTACGTACAAATTGCTGAAATTCTTACAGCTGACAAATACCATGTCGCGCAGTACAAAACGCTGCATCGTTGTCACGTCTGAAGTTAATATTTTGCATCCACCCTGCATCCGAGCGAGTGCGTGTGTGCCGACAAATATACAGGAATAGTGAAGAAAAATGTCGCGATGTCTCGCCGGGCGACGTTGTCGCCCGGCATCCCGCGACGACATTTTACAAATCGCGTCCTCCCGGGCATGTTTAATTTATCGAAATCCTGAGGGAGAAGCCAGCTGTAACGTCCATTTGTCAACATCTCCGCGGCGTAACTACGACGTCGCGCACCTGAACGGATACTTTAACTCCATAAAAGCGGCTGTTTTCGCGCAGATCGTTAATTGCGTCATTTATTTATGTCGAAAGTGCTACGGTACACGCGTGCTCGAATGATTCGCGATCGGTCGGGGTAGGCGAGTTTCAAAAATGGGATAAGGCGGCTTATCATATTGGTGAGCCTGCCGACATCACCGGCCGGATGTTATCTATAGAATATCAATGTCCTGCGATCGAAATAATATAAGAAAGAAAAAACATTTTCTCAGATAAATGACAGCGACATGACATTCATCCAGATGTTATTCCCAGATGAAGGCTAAGACTGGATCCCATATCTTCTTCGAATCGAGGCCTAAACATAATTGTTCTAAACAAATTTATCTGATCACAATTTGTACGAATTAATGTAGAGATATTTCATTTTATTGACTCATGTTAAAATTGGGTATAGCATTTATAAAAAATAATGGATGTTTGATCCGAGGCAGCGCGGTAGAAGTCAGACTTTGAATTTAGCGGAGCGTTTTTTTCCTACAGTTTACGATACGTCTCGCTGTACTCACCACGCCTCCGCGCCGGTGTTCACACCACCTGTTGAAAAACGCACGTAATACGAAGTTCCCATTACTTCTGCAGACGCCCGACGCGCCCCATATCTTATTCGTATCTCCGTCGAGTGCAGCCGCTGCATTTATTCTTGAGTTAATAAACTGCTCTAAGTGGATATCCCCGAACAATAGTTATTAGACACTCCGGGATCTTTGTTAATATTGTCTTGGATTTAAATTTCGTTACGGTATAATAGAACGTTGTAATAATCGTGATCTGTTGTAAACGGGATGTAAACAAAAATTTATGACACTCTTCGCTGCGATCCGTAAAATTTATTAGCAT